AACCGAGCTCCCAAACCCCAGGGGAAATAAGGAAACTCAAACTGCTTTCTCTCGGTACCAGGGGAATAAGGTATGAGTGTCTTGACTGTGAGATGACAGTCGGGGAACGTTGTGATGTGCTCCCTGCTCGCCCCGGGTTGGAACTGTGAAGTCTTTGCTTCATGGGACCCAGTAAATACGTTCAAGAGACTCAACCTCGACTCCTCGGCACAACTCACATTACCATCCCTGATCTAGAATGAGCTATTCCAGACAAAGGAACTTTCCAAAAAAGAAAAAGCTCTCCAAGGGTCGTTAGCAAATAAAGAAAACAGTACTGAAAACTTTTTTGTATGTGTGAAGAGAAATTCTAGGAATGCTCTCTGAATTCTCAAAATGGAAATCCCCTACATGTGTTAGGGATTTTTAAAAACATAAAGCAGAAAATCTAACATATTACTGATAATCCAACATCAGCACATTACCATGCACTGTGGCAGAGGCCCTACTGGGGTAGAGCTGGAAAGGGATTTGGAAACCACAGGGAATAACCCCATTGCTGCCTACAACAGAGCTGAGGAACAACAACTCAACAGGATCTTTTGAGAAGTAAATGAGATGTACTGAAACCTGGCATGTAGTAGGCTCTTAATCGGTATGGGAGTTCATTCCTTAAAACACTTTCAAATGTAAGTCATAGTTGAAAATAAACCTTAAAACTTCAGCCAACTTGACTACATTTCCAGTTGCATAATTTTTTAATTTCAAAAAAAATGTACTTTTGCTTTATTGTTTTAATTAAAAAAAACGGGTCACTGTGAAAAAAAAATTCTAAATATCAAAAATAGTTTTGGAGGGTCAAAATCACCTATATTCTAACCACCCAGACACAGAGGCTTGAGATTTTGGTAGGTATCTTCCCAGATGTTTTAAGAAATGCACAGACACTCTGTCTTCACAATGACAGGATTATTCTCTGCGTGTTGCTCTGTAATCTTTTCTCATTTACAATGCCTCATGAACATTTTTTCATATTAAAATCGTAGCTCCGCACTGCCATTCTAAAGGCTGCACAGGATTCCACAGTATGAATACACTGTCTTTTATTTAACTAATCTCCGCTGAATGATGTTTTGGGTATTTCTAATTTTTCACTACTGTGAACCAGTGAAATGAGTATCTATGTCCCTGCCCACTTTCCCAATTGAGTTTCTCAGCAGCGGCACTAATGATATGCGGACTAGATAACCCTCTGTTGCGGGGGTCTGACCTGCGCAGGGTAGGATGTTTAGCAGCGTCACCTGTTAGGTGCCTCTACCTGTTAGATGCCAGTGGCAACTCCCCGTGACAACCAAAAATGTGTCCAGACATTAGGCAGCTGAGAACCACTGCTTTAAGACAAACTCCTAGAAGTGGAATAAGCCAGCTCAAGGCATTACATACTTTTCATTTTGTTACCCATTGCTAATACGCCCTCCAGAGGCTGAATGCCCTGGCCAGCACCAAGGAGCATCTATCCACCTCTTCATTTTTGCCGGTGTGAAGGTGAGTAAGGTCAGCCCACTGTTTTGTTTTTTAATTAAATTAATAGACTTGCGGGGGGCGGGGGAGGGAGCGTTGAGAAGTTTTAGATTTGCAGGAAAAATGGAGCAAAAAGTACAGAGAGGTCTCATTTACCCCCTCACTCCTCACTCCCAGCTTCTCCTACAACTAACATCTTTCATGGGTGTGGTACATTTGCTACAACTGAGAAGCTAATATTGATACATTATTATTAACCAATGCCTAGTTTACATTAGGGCTCACTCTCTGTGTAATGACATGTATCTACCATTACGATATCATACAGAATAGTTTCACTGCCCCGAAAATCCCTGTGCTCTGCCTATTCATCCCTCCCTCCCCACAACCCCTGGCAACCATTCTTACTACTGTCGCCATAGTTCTGCCTTTTCCAGAAGGTCATATAGTTGGAATCATATAGTATGCAGCCTTAGTAATATGCATTTAAGTTTCCTCCATGTGTTTCCATGGCTTGATAGCTTGTTTCTTACTAGTGCTAAATAATATTCCATTGTCTGTCTGTACCACAGTTTGTTTATCCATGCACTTTGCTGAAGGACACATTGGTTGCTTCCAACTTTGGCAGTTATGAATAAGGCTGCTATCAACATCAATGTGCAGGTTTTTGCATGGACATAAGTTTTCAGCATATCTGGATAAATAACTAGAAGCACATCGGCTGGATCATATGGTAGGATTACGTTGAGCTTTGCAAGAAACTTCCAAAGTAGCTGTACCATTTTGCATTCCCACCAGTAATGAATGAGAGGAATCAGAGTTCCTGTTGCTCCACATCCTCACCAGCATTTGGTGGTGTCAGTGTTACTGATCTTAGACATGCTAATAAGTGTGTTGTGCTATCTCTTTATTGTTTTAATCTGCAATTCCCTAATGATAGGATGTTGAGCATCTTTTCACATGCTTATTGAGTTGTATTCTTACTGCTGCATTTTAAGAGTTTTCTGCATATTTTGAAAACTAGTTCTTTATCAGATACGTGTTTTACAAATATTTTCTCCCAGTCTGTGGCTTGTCTTTTCATTCTCTTAACAGTGTCTTTTGAAGAGCAGAAATTTTTAATTTTAATGAGGTCCAACCTATCAATTGTTTCTTTCATGGATTGTGCTTTCCGTATTGTATCTAGAAGGTTATCATCACCAAACCCAAGTTCACCTAGATTTTCTCCAATGTTATCTTCTAGGAGTTACCTTCTATAGTTCTGCATTTAACATTTAGGCCTGTGATCCATTTTGAGTTAATTTTTGCAAAAGGCATAAGGTCTGTGTCCAGATTCATTGTTTAATTTCCCCTTTTAAAAAAATTAGTAGTGAGGTTGGACACCTTCATCTTTTCATTGACGTTTGTATTCTCTCCTGAAATGCCCTCGCGTGTCCTCTGCCCAATTTTTAGGTCATGCTGTTCATTCCAATTATATTTTTTGCCATTTAAAAATCATTTTTACCAATTTATTGAGCTGTAACTTACATACAATAAATTTTACCCATTTTAAGTGTACAGATTGATGTTTCAGTGAATGTAAATTACATTAAAAACTGCAAGGACAACCACATCCAAATTTTAAAATCCTCCCATCACCTCCAGAGAGTTCCCTCCTGCCCCTTGCAATCAATCATTGCCCCACCCCAGCCCCAAGCAACACCTGATCTGCTATCACCATAGCTTTGCTTTTTCTGGAATTTTGTATCAATGGAATTAGACAGTCTGTTGTCTTTTGAGTCCAGCTTCCTTTACTTGGCATAATGTTGTTGAGATTCATCCTTGTTATTGCTTATATCAGTACTTGCTCCTTTTTAATTGCCGCGTAGTACTCCATTGCATGGATATACCACATTTTATATATCCATTCACACGTTTGTAGGCATTTGCATTGTGTCCAGTTTAAAGCCTTTATGAATAATGCTATGAATATTCAACCTCTGTGCTGTGACCAGCTGCTTTAAAATATTTTGTCATATTAATTTTAAAACTATAGTTTAAAATTTAAACTACATATAGTAAACTATATATAGTATATCCTACTATAGTCCAAACCATGTCAACTGGTACCAAAAATGGCGATATAGGATATGGGACTCCAAACCTGTATCTCAAAGTGCAAAAGTCAGAAGTTACTGCCACATGTCCCAGTGACCCCAGGATGGCATAAAATTCCTACAAAGGTCATGGGAAGCCAGATGTAGCTCTGAGAACCCCGGTCCCTGAAAGTCACTAAGCCAAGGAGAATCTAGAGTAACAAGACCAGGAAATGCACTTTACACTGACATTTTCAAGCTTTCCACTCCCAGACTGACATTTCTAGAAAAGACATGCTCAGCTTGAGTGCCAGGAGAAAAGGCATGTACACAGCTCTTTGGATCTGTGCCTGCCGTTGATATTTGAGATCTGCTGAGCTCAAAGCCACCACTCTTTGAAGACTGCTGAGACCTTTCTGGTTTTAGAAAGAAGGGAGGAAAAAAGCTGAAAACTAAAGAAAATAATGTTACAGGGAACAAAAGGAATTGCAGGACCTGGACCTGTGCAGATAAAGAAACTCTTCCCTCACATATCCAGTGGAGATTTCCATCACAGCAACACAGGAAGAGAACTGGAGACAAATTCCTACAGCTCTTTCTCTGCAAACTGGCCAGGCCAATAGAAGGGGATTCCTGGCAGATGTGTCAGCTGGTTTTCTATGTCACCCCAACCCCAACTTCACACCATGCTCCACCCAATTCCAACCGCCCCCTGCCCCAAGAGTGTCCCCAGAGTGGTAGGTGCTGGTAATTTGAGCAGCCAGTGGGTGCTGATCACCCTTTCCCATCCCACCTCCGTTAGGGAGTATGGTAGTTCAAATCCAGGCATATGGTTCACCTTCACTCCACACCTACTGCTAATATCACCATCATTCTACAGATGACGAAACTGAAGCACAGAGAGGTTAAGTAACTTGCCCAAGGTCACACAGCTGATAAGTGGCAGAGCCACGATTCAGGTTCAGATTCTTATACAATGCCACTAATTAAATAAATGGCACACACACACACACACACACACACACACACACACACACACACACACACAACAAGGGTTAGAGAAGGAAAGAGGGTGCTCCTTCTTGCCTCTTTACCTGAATTGGTCATAAAAGGTGCCACAGAGATGGAGAATACTGGAGCATGCCCAAAGGGCCAAGGACTTTTAGAGGAGCACCTCAAGCTGGCAGAGAGAACACAGAGAACAAACGTACAGAACTGTGCAAAGGACTAAAGAAAGACCCAGGGTGTTTCTCTGGTTTGGTCTCCACTCTCCAGGCCGCCACTGTCCTCTGGAAAGGAAGGGGTGGCCCGTGACGTTTATTTGAGCCAGAGAGAAACTCAGTCTGCTTAAAGAAGCAGGTGGCAGGACTGGGTGGAGAAGTCAACACTGAGAACACTGAACAACACAAAAAATGAGGATATAGGATGGCCGACGACCTGGATTTGGATACCGACTCCACCAATGCTCTCTTGTACAACCCGAGGTCAGTCCCCAAGCTCCCTCGACCTCAGTGACTACATCTGTAAAATGGGAGTGATCACGGTTACAATCCATAATAGAACTTCATGTAAAGCTCTTAGCACATAACCCACAGTCAGCATTAGCTATATTATTATTAGTTATTAAATTATACTTGGTCCAGCCCACCCTGCCTGGAATGAAAACCACCACGGGGCCAAACGGGAATGATGCTCGCCCAGGCTGTGTCACGTGTTAGCCTGCTGGGATCTGCTGAACACAGAAGACTTGACCAGCCGCAGCGCTTCTCCACTAGTGATTACTGAGCCATGATCCCACATCTGCAACCACTGGGCTCCCTACGTCACTTCAGATGAAAGCCGCACTGATGAACTCTTCCCCGATTAGAAGCGAGAAATGGGATTCATAACACTCAGATAAGGTCTGCGATAGATGTGGCCATAGACGTTTCCTGTGGCTAGATCAAGCCACCAAATGTCTGGAAACGCGGAGCTGTCAACGCAGTCACCTTTTGTCTGCTTCAAAGACATTACCCAGCTGAGCTGGATTTGCCAGGTGTTCGTGCCGTTTTTTGCCTCCTGAGCTCTCCCCCCAAACCACCCTGTGATGAGATGATTGCTTGGAAGACAACTGGCAATTACAGTCCTTTTAAGAGTCTAGGCACGTATTAAAAGATTAGAAGCCTTGGACACGTGCCGCCAGGTGACCAGGTAGCATCTGCGATGGAAGGGGCCTGTAAATGATCATTTAAGAGGAAATATGTACTTTTTATTCCTGAAAAGGTGGAGATTCTGGCCCTCTCCCTTCTTTACACTATCTTTCACAGGCTTCTGCAACATACAAAGCACAGACGTGGTGGGGGGGGGTGGGTTAAGGAAAGGCTGTGTTAAGGCCCCTCAATTGTGTTACCCTGGGCTCACATCTGGCGTTGGGATCACCTAATGAAAGGCTTTTGTGAACAGTGAAATCTACAAGGGGGTGGAGTTAGCTATAGAGACCAGGCAGGATTTCACTTCCACTGCTGCACCAGAGAGAAGGGCCTTCGTGCCTTCATTCACACCCACATACCCTCCTACTCTCCCTCCCAGGGCCAGATCTGTGCACCAGCACTTGCCCTGCACTTGCCCAGCCCTGACAGTCAACGCTGCGTGATCTTTTGCAACCCAGGGGTTTGCCTCTGTCCAGTTCTGGCCCTACCCCTTTCCTTACGTTATGAATGACTGCATAATGAACACGTGGTCACATAAACCACCCCATGAGATAAATGGAGCAAACACACCTTGTTGAGGAAGGCGATGATCCATTTTTCAGTGGAAGTTTCAAGGTGGGCTTTTAGGAGGTTAATGCCTGAAGTGAAGACAGATCAGAAGGAAGCAGCCAGGCGTCGGTTCAAACCAAAGGTGCTGAAATAGACATTGCCCAACCAACTCCAAAACATCAGGGATCTCGCAACACCTGAATGAGGTGGCCTTGGGGCAAGTAAAGGGTCCGTCACGATCACCCAGCAAATACAGATCTGCCATAAAATTCAGTGACCCCCAAGAAGTTGTACAACTACCCAGAAGCTAAATAGAGATTTCAAAATGGTGCAAGATTTGTGGGGTGCATCACAGAGGACGGAGAGAGGAGACCCCCGGGGTTCTGGAAGACCCAAGACTGAGCTGACTCCTCTTCCGTAACATTCCCTCTCATGGGCTGTAATCCACTCCTGAGAAGCTAATTCCTCATGATGATGTCTGGATTCCAAGGGAAGACACCACCACCTCGGGGAGCCGAGATGATCAAAGGGCAGCCAACAGATCACAAGCCGCCTTGCGTTCCCTGAGGTCCTACTGCATGTCTACATGGCCCTTGGCAGGATGAAGGCTCTGGTCAAGACAGATATGGCTCGGTCCTCATGGAGCTTCCAGGCTAGTGGGGAAGACACGTCAATAAACTAACTGCCGAATAATTATTCATCATCACAATCTCAATGAATTTAGAATATACAAGCTCCATGAGGACAGGGGTTTGTGTCTGTTTTTTGTTCACTGATCTGTCACTAGTGCCTAGAACAGAGCCTGCCACATAGTAGGTATTCAATAAAGATTTGTTGAATGAATGAAGTGCTATAAAAGAAAAGCAAAGGGCATAGTGAGAGCCCATGATGAGGGGACCGAAGCTAGTTGGGGGCACCAGAGAAAGCTTTCCTGCGGAAGCCACGGTAAGTGGATCTGGGACTGTGGAGGATGCTACAGGCAGAGGCAACGGTCAGGTGACAGGAGAAGCTGGAGTGTCAGAAGGGCTAGAAGAAACCTCCTGGGAAATAGGACCCTAAGATGTGGCCTGAAGCTGGCAGGGGCCCCACTGTGCACAGCCATGTTCAAGGATGCTTTTGAAGCCTCGGGACAAAAAATAAATCCAAATTAAGAGAGCGGAGGAAGAGAGGAAACCGTCAGGCTCTTCCCCTCACTGTTCTCTCCCTCTCCCAACACCACTAAGGAATTAAAAACCACCTGATTATATATATCCATAAGAATAATCCGTGCCTTCCTTTAATTGCTTAATAGAAGGCAGTGAAGAAATTGTGAATTACTGCCCCAAATGGGACATTTGCCAAGGAAGAATCATGAGCCGTGATCACTGGGTGCTCACATCGGAGCAGCTAAATATTTCAAGTATTAGAAAGACAGCACAACATAAAGCAGCAGAAGTCCCCACCTCCGCTTCCTGGCAAAGCCCCCGTGGCTTTTACGGCATTTATGCCCTTATTCCCAATGGAAGAGCTATCATCCGCCCTGCCCGTAGGCATGCTGTGAAAAATGAGGGATGGCCTCAGTCTGACAAAGTCGATGATAAAGAAAAGAGTTTCCCAGGGCCCCACAGAACCACGGGCATTTCAACACCACCTCCCCTTCCCGCCCCCCCTGGGAGGACCACAGCCAGTGCCTGCATTTCCCGGCTTCGGTGGCAGAGACTCCTTCATTTCAACAATTGCTTCAGTGTACTGGGAAACTGGTAGGGTGTTTGTGGGCTCCCTGGAGAGGAGCAGGAAAGAGGGG